AGAGCTTTTCAAGTATGTGTTTCCCTATTTTGATTACTTTGTCTCATTTTCCACCTTTATTGTTCAGATGATTTGTTCTTCTAGAACCAAATCCTTTTCTACGAAATTAGATGAGATATTCAACCATGGGTGCCATGGGGAAATGATCCTACATTATTATCGAATATAATTAAAAGAGAAGCGAGTTTTCAAGATTACCTCAAATCTAGCATTTTTTAGCACATGCCACTTTTTTTATGATTGGTTCGTGTTCCCTATACCTTCTCTTGTACAAGGGGTTTTGATTATAATATTAATTTCTCTTCACAATTGAGGGTTTGCGATGTTGATCACCACTGGCGATAAGTCTACACGCATTTATTTTAGTTCCTTATTCCACTTTTTCGCTGGACATGAAGGCTTTTGACTCCTCGATGCCATAGACAAGTCCTTTTGTCCGATTCGCATCCGGACCATTTTGAGCACTTCAAAGTATTCGTTCATATCATGGCCTCTGGTGCAATGAACTTTGCAAAATTTAGACTGTTGCCTTTCAAGGGGTAGGTACGCTTTGTTTGTGACTTGAGAGGATGCTATAGAGAATGTACGCCTTCTGTCCTTGGGCCAATCCGAGCGATGATATTGTGATCTAGGCAATCTAGATGCGAATGTAAAAGCTTCTCTCTTGAATTCTCCCCGGTGCCCTTGTTTCTGCCTCTTTTGATTCTTAAGAATATCATCTACCTGGATCTCATTGAGCTTTAGATCTATTAATTGGTTGAAAGAATACAGAAACCTTTTGATGGCTTTTTGCCAGGAGAGCATTTTCTCTAACAAGCCATTCCACAAGGCATCTTTCATCTCTTCATCTGGTATAGTGACGCCGGGCAGAATAGTGATTATTCTGCAACTGACGTCAGACAGAATAGTGATTATTTTACAGGTTGGAACCAATTGACAAATATAGAGAAGAACGCAAGAGAAACACCAAGAAAAATGAGAAAATTCTTTATTATTCAACAACTGAACGAAAATAACCCACAAGCCGGGTTAAATAGTTAAAAAATATTAATTATCGGAATTTTGCCAAGACTAGCAAAATTCTATTATTCATACCAAAACGAAATAAGTAATGAAAGGAAGAAGATCCCAAAAATTTGGCTAAATTTGAGATCGTAATCTATATCAAAAAGGAAATCGAAATATTATTAAAAATGGCAAAAAATAACTTAAATTGATGATTCGGACGGGAAAACAGCTAAATTTGACCTCGAAACCGATGCACACCGAGCATAGCTCGGTGCCCACGACTTGAGCGCCAGAAAGAGCTTTCCGAATCGGGGTCATGGGAGTGATTCTGACAACCGTAGTCAAAGTTATGGTCAAAATACCGAAATGTGTCCAAAAGCGGCCCCAATTAGGAAAGATCAATGATTACTTGTCATTCTTGCGCTGATCCGCCAACTCATGGTATCTCAACACCATTAACAAACTATCAGACAGCTCGGCCTCGTCTGGCTCGGATCTCCCTGCATCATATAGCCTCGATAGTAATCATTTTAGTTTTGTAACGTGTGAAATAACTCTTGAGAGATTCTCCTACTCTTTGTTTCACACTATCTAGCCTCTTGGTTGATGCATATCCCATCCTTCCTTCATTGAATGTTCATATGATTGCTTGTTTCCATGATGGCCAATTGCTGATTAAGTCTAATGGTAGTTGGTATGTCATACCTTCCTTCTCATCATATCTTTTTATTGCAGATTGGCCTTCAGATTCTTCATAGGGTGATTATTATAAAGATTGGTACGATTTTCCATTCTCTGGCTTTCCCAATGGTTGCACTGGTTGTACTTCAAGTAATGAGAGTTTCTCCTCTAGCCATTTTCATCCTACCAATTCGTCCTTGAACTCTCATATTTGCACACAGATATACATTTTCTACTATTAGTGCTTTAAGGCTTCTCTCCATTTATTGTCTTCGCAGTACGAGTTCTTTTCCACTGGCGATGGTCCTGATAAAAGAAATGTTGGCCAGAACTCTTGTCGGTGTTTCTTCCCATTTTCTTTTTAGATTAGCATTGTTAGTAGCCAAATTATCACTGGACTATCTTGTTCCAATCATCAAGGCTTTTATTTCTTTCGGATCTCCTTCCATTTGGCTCTTTTTTCAGATCTCAAAGATTTCTCAACTATAACAGATTGCTCTAAATTCTAACAGAAGGCGCCAATTTGTTGATGATAGAAATCAAATCAATAAATTCCTCACCTAGCCAGGATTTTGCCTCCTAACTTCACTTGTTTTGATACTCAATTGGATCAGTAGGTGAAATGGCTATTTGAGTGGGAGATATTTGAATTTGTATACCTTTTCTGTTCTTACGCAGAAATATTTGTAGATTTCTCTTAAGACTTTGGGGACGATTCAGTCATTTAGGAAAAATGATATATGCGAGCTCTTATGAACTAGCCATGACATAGTCCATCCATGTTTTTACCTTACAAATTTGATTTTTCTTTCTCTTTTGTTTATCTACTTCAGCTTTATAAATCTTGGTACATTTAATGATCTTGTTTGTTTGCTTTTCCTTAATATAATCAATACAAGTTCAAAAACGAGCAAATAGCAACACAACGCTTTAACTAGTGACATACTTTATTATGCTGAACCATAACAAAATCTTTTAATCGATATATTAGTATATAGCATATAAAATTTTTAATGCGAATTGTTTCTTTTGCAACGCAAAAGATATTTTTAAGATCCAAAATGAAAATTGGGGACGTTCTATTTTTGACCGACTAAATAATAAAAATATTTATTGCCAAAAGAAATAATAAGTACATCTCTTAAATTTAACCATAATCCCAACTTAAAGAATTTTATTGCTCAAATATGGATGGCAACGAGGTGGGTAAAGGACGGGTCGGCCATTTTCACCCTCGTCCACCCGCTTCATCGGGTATTTTTGTTACCATGCACATTCTCATATTCGTTTAAAATGAGACGAGACGGGTTTGGGACGGGGTAGGCAGATCCCCTACCCCATTCATCGCCCATTTTATTTTTTGAAATTTTTAGTTAGTAAATATTATTACTCTTTTACTAATTTGTTAAAAACAACTTATAGTCGTTATTGGGGCCCACACAAGAAATAGAAAATTTGAATTTAAATGAAGATGTGATGGATAACGGTGATATTTTTCATTTTAATGAGATAAAAAGGTGGCCCAAACGGGAACTTATATTTTCTTTAAAAAGATGATAAATCTATTATTTTTGTTTGATAAAAAACTTCAATTTGAAATTAACTTTAAACGGAGTAGGTAACGGGACGGGATTATATTTCTCGTACCTGCCTCATACCCGCTTTGGGGCAATCACCCTTTCCGATAGTTGGCATAATAAATGCAAATTGTTTCTTTATTTATGAGGGACACCAAATATATACCCTTCTTTTTCTTTTTTCATTTGTTTCAAATTACAGGCAACTTTTCTTATTAGAGTATAGTTATTTTTTGAACTTTCTAATTTGCCCTATTTAACGTGCCTTGGTATCAACAAATATGAACTACTCATATTTAAATAATTATTTTAATATAGGGACGTACTAGAAAAATGTAAGAAAAATTAATAGCTTCAACTATATTAATTATGTTTTCTTAATTTGAGGGAAAATGAAAATAAATCTATATTTATGGGACGAATGGAGCACATTTTTAAGTGAGCTCCTGCACAATTATTTATATTTGATGCATAAATCTTTTCCCTTCCACAAGTTCGAGTTGCAAGAGGAACTTAGCTCTTAGTTTTCTTTGAGCACCAAACTTCCAAGATGGATAACTTAGCTGACAATTTCTTTTTATCGTAATAGACTTTATCAAAGTATTGAAGGGGAAGTTAAAATTTGTGGTTTACAACTTGATTGATAGATCGTCACATGGAGAGTCTCAAGGTTTGTTTCTCTTCTTAGTGTATCGGATGTACTGTACTCTTCTTTGAATTATGAAAATTAGTTAGTTTGATCTCCAACAAGACTAAGTGACACGTCTTTTAAATATAATTCAACTTCTACATTAAATCGTTACAAGATGAAGCAACTTATTTATTTAGCCCAAGTTTGACAACCAATATTTGGAAAAAACAATGATTTGAATAGTGATTTTTAAGAGAATGTTTGGATAAAAAGTCGGGAAGAATTTTGAATTTACGTGCAGAATATTTTATTGTGTGAATGTATAATTAAAAATGAGTATGTAGAATTTTTTTTTCAAATAATAGTTGTCAAAGAGGGCTTATATATCCGAAAAGTGCTTGACTAAAGCTTCCACGCTTACTAGTTGATGCGTACAAGCAAGCATCAACATCCTTCAAACATCTCCAAGCTGCCCTAATGGCCTAATCAAGTATCTAAAAACAACACACCATGCAAGCAAACAAGAAGTTGAATCAAATCTCCAGCTATGGAGATGTCCCACAAGGATAGACCATAAAATATGCAACAACAAGGCAAAGGGTCCTCCATTGTCTTAGTCTAAACAGATAATAAGCCAAAAGGTGAACATTCCAGTGAAGAATCATCATAGAATACCGTCAGAGTAATATTACCAATCCATCTATAATTGAACTCGTCTGTTATGGTAGTATATTGACTGAGTTCATTCCAAATAAATTTACAATCAGCCATATAGCTCATCATATCGTTGTTGCCTCGATGAAGTTTGTATCAAGGTTCACGACACAATCTGACAATTAACCCACCGGCAGCGATCCTCCTTTTTATCTGGATTTGGTAAAGGTAGATTTGTCTGTAATAATTAAATAAGAAAAAAAGGGGCAAAATCTCGCTCTTTCCCCCGTTAACTCCTGTCTAATTCTGTGTATCCTTGTAAATGTTTTTACCTCTCGCTGACAAAAATGCCTGATTTACGAATTACGAGGACGAAGTCATCACCAGAAAAGGACAGAAGAAAAGGAGGTTACCATTCGACACCCTAATCCAATATAACTTCATACAAGATGCCAAAACACAGTTGGATTCACTGCAATAATTCACATGGAATGGTGGTATTGATTGATGAAGACAGAACTAAAGGTATTCTTACCAAAGAGGGCCTCTTCTGCATATTTGAAATCATTGATCTTATACATTCTTTGTCATTTATGTGTGGGTCTCATCTGTATTCCCATTTCAAAAGCAGCTTTATATTTAAGAGGTAGACGAATGAATAAAGAAGATGGTAGTTCCAAGCATCTTCAATATAAAAACCACTTAATTCTGCTTACTAGTGAGATTAATTCGCCTGTAAAGTGTCTTCTAGGAATAAGGGGCAAATAATTTTTGGGGCTGCTGACAGCTAATCTCTACTTTGTTCCTGCAATAATGAAGGTTTTATTATAGGCACCATGAAATAAGACTGTTCTTTGCATGGAAGATTGCAGATTGACAATATACAAGTATTCTATTGGAAAAAGTAAATACTCTTCTTGTAAATCTGAGTTTTTTCTCATATTTTGTAGTTTTAGCAACGATGGATTCCTCTAAAATAGTCGAAGACAAAGCCGAATGTGGAAGTAACGTGTCCGGGTGGACAACTTATATTGCTTCACCAGAACACGATGATGATGATGAAGAAGAAGATGAAGATCATACCATTGACAGGAAAGCTGATGCTCGTGATTCTGGAGACGGTGAAAGCGATGACTCTATGGCTTCTGATGCCTCATCCGGCCCGAGTCTACAAGAATTGTCAAGTGGAAAATTTGAAGGAAGCCATGCAGAAAACAAAGATCACAGAAGATGGTTTGGTAAGAAATGTCACCCACAAGAAGAGAAGAAACAATATGATGAGCAAATAAAAACAGCAAAAAAAAAGCCGGGACAAAAGGCAAATGGTGCTGGCAGATCGAAGAAAAAATAATGAGGCATATATAAAGAACTTTTCAACAAATTATCCTCCAAAATTTGGCCTAAATCTATTCTTGTCCTCTGAGGTATTTCCGTGAATGCCAAAGTTCAAAAATAGATTTTGTAGTATTTGATTTCCAATTCGATGCAATTTCAAGAAACAGATTCAGCCAACTTTGCTATATTGATTCATCATACAAATCTCGGTTCACTGAGTTCAGTTCTATATTGTGAACATAGATATAAGTCAAGGCAGTTAATTTTTCAAGGCTGTCATATAATCAAGAAAATTTTTCAATATTCCAGATGCTGCTCAGATTGATCTTGAAAATATGCACTGGAGAAAAAAAGACTTTGATGCAGTCGAACACATGTTCATAAACATAGAAGTACTTTTCTCCCCCTTTTTCAATATCAGAAGATTTCAAAAGTGAATCCGGATAGGGGCACCCAACTTTCGATTCGCTTGTGACTATGATTCATCATTTTCAACAAGCATGTGTGATAAGAAGCTGAGAAGAATTTAAAGAAGGGAAACAACAGGAAATGTATATTAGTGACAACATTTGAACCCATATATTTTATTTGACATAATTCTCAGAATACACTGGCTCTAGAAAACAATGTTAGCCCACATCAGGAAAGACTATCCTTGCAAGAAGTACTAGAACCGAGGTAACGCTAGCAGAACCACATCATTCCTAATCTATATCCACTTTGCATTATCAGACAGAAGTAACTCAAAACAACATTGTTAAACTGTCAAATCTGAAATACTTCTTGACCATTTGGCTCCATCCATGAAATATTCTAATCGCAGTCCTTAATTGTAAAGTGCTATACGATCCTCACTATACAATAAAGAAAGAGAACCAGTATCTTACCATCACTTCTGTTTCTGCATCCTCTAGGGATTTAATAAAAGAATAATGCTATTTAACACCACTACTGTTATTATAGATGATATTAATGTGGCATAAATGAGGGGTATAATTAAATAAATCACTTAATTCTACCTTTTATTGAGTCTATCACTGAGCGCCACCTAAACTCATGTTGTATCACCAGTGGTGCTAGATAACATTATTCTTAACAAAATTGCTAGTCATTTCAGCAGTTGATTAACTATATGATTCTGAGCACGGTTAGATAATAAACACTAATTGCAGTTATATATTCCCCAGAATTTAGGCACCAATTCATTTTCAGATATGGGATATCATAATCAGGATGCCGAATAGTTCAATGAAAATGACATTTGACATGACTAGATCATTTGATTGATAAATGGCCAGACAATGATGAACAACATTTACAAACTGGGAAAGGTCAACATACTTTTTCTTTTTTATTAGGTGGGTGAGGGGAACCCAATAGTATATAGGATATAGTTTTTTTTCTTTTTTTTTGATAACCGTGGATATTCGAACTAGCTTGCGAGCACCTCGATTAATTCCACGGGGTCCTGAAGTTTACGACCAGGTACTCACCTCAGTGGCCCTGAGAGGACTCGAACTGATGACCATTGGGGAGCAAACCCAATGTCTCACCAATTGAGTAACCCCTCAAGGTTAGTATATAGGATATAGTGATGATGGTGAAAATTGTTTGTGCAGCAAGATTAGTTAGGAACAGTTATGTTATCCTTCGGAAAGAAGAAAGCAAGAAAGCAGAAATGTATCCAGATATATTCATGAGACAAACTATCAGATGAGAAGATTTAGCCAAATTAAAAATAAGAGGCATTCTTGTTGAGATTTCTTTAGGATGTGTACATGCATATTGTTAGAATCATACACAATCACAAAAGATTAGTTATGGAATCTTAAGATTCCCTAATTTCCACAACTCGCCTGATATTCTGTGAATAGTTCCATTGCTATACATTATGTAATCATTGTAGTAGTTTGCAGTCCTACGAATAGGCATAAAATAGAATACAAATATTATTTACACTTTCCCTTCTTCCTTTAAACACATATGAATAGATGCATACTCATGCCTTTGGCTCCTTCATATTTTTACAGGATGCCCAGAGTAAACAGAAGAAAGCTAGAGTAATGCCAGTAGAGAATACAGCGGGCGAGAGGAAAAAAATAAAAATAAAAACCAAAGGCCCTTAAAAAAGAAAAACTCAAAGCTTCAAGTCATATGCTTGAAATAAAACTAGAGCTCTAACTGAAAGATATAATTGCATAGATGTCTAGAAAATACATGAATTTGACGTCAAACACAACATAAATTTACTCTCAGATATTTGGTAGAACAGTAATAGCAGAATAACAAACCACCTTCAGTGATACGGAAAAATTTAATAAGACAACAGTTGTTCAATATGATATTAAACAACCAAAACACTAAATCTTTGATTGTTTTGCAATCTTGAACCACTCTGTATGGAAGGAGCCAGGCATATCGGTCCTCTCATATGTATGAGCACCAAAGTAATCCCTTTGAGCTTGGACCAAATTAGCAGGCAGTCTTTCCCTTCTGTATGTGTCAAAATAAGCAAGGCTTGAAGACATACCAGGGGTGCTGATGCCTGATTTAATAGCAAGGCAGACAACTCTTCGCCAAGCCGGCTGTCGATCAATTACTTCCTTTGCAAACTCTGGATCCACAAGCAAATTTGCAAGCTCAGGGTTTCTGTCGTAAGCTTTCTTGATACGATCTAAAAATACAGCCCGGATAATGCACCCGCCCTTCCAAATTCTGGCAAGCTCTCCTAGTTTCAAGTCCCATCCTTTCTCGATGCTCTTTGCACGGATTAAATTCATTCCTTGGGCATAACTACATATTTTGGATGCATAAAGTGCTTGTCTTACATCATCGATCAACTTTTTCTTATCTACATCTCGATCAGTAAGGATGTCACTGACCCCAATAGATTTGAAAACCTTGGCAGCTTGAACCCTTTCTTCCTTTAACCCACTAAGGAATCTTGAATCTAATGATGAAGCAATTGTTGGTGCTGCAATTGACAACTCCGCAGCTTGCTGAACAGTCCATTTGCCAGTTCCCTTCATACCAGTTTTGTCAAGAACCTTGTCTACTAGATACCCATTACCCTTATCATCTTTAATTCTGAATATATCTGCTGTGATCTCAATCAAAAAGCTAAGAAGCTCCCCCTGGTTCCATTCTGAGAAAACCTGATGAAGTTCATCATTAGAGAGCTTCCCAACTGATTTCAGAACATCATAGGCCTCCGCAATCAGCTGCATATCACCATATTCAATCCCATTATGAATCATCTTAACGAAGTTACCTGATCCTCCTTTGCCAATGTACGTAACACAGGGGCCGCTAGCAGGAACTTGTGCAGCCACCTTAAGAAGAATATCTTCGATGTACTTGTAAGCTTCAAACGAACCTCCAGGCATCAAAGAGGGTCCATGACGAGCACCCTCTTCACCACCAGAAACTCCCATTCCAAGATAAAGCAGACCTAATTCAGTCATTTGCTTCTCTCTCCTCTCAGTGTTCTCATACCACTCGTTACCACCATCGATAATGCAGTCTCCTTTTTCCATGTAAACAGAAAGGGTTTTGATGGTCTGATCAACAGGGGCACCAGCCTTAACAAGCATAATTATGACACGTGGTTTTTGGATTGATTGAACGAAGGACTCAGGATCATGGAAGCCATACACTGGAAGGTTGCCTTCCAATTTAGCTCTTTCTACGGTCTCATCAACTTTTGAAGTGGTTCGGTTGTAAATAGAAATTGGGAATCCTTTCTCAGATATGTTAAGGGCAAGATTTTGTCCCATCACAGCAAGACCAGCAAGGCCAATTCTTGTTGGAGTAGTCATTTTCTTTCCTGTTCAGTGTCAACTAATAGTAGCTTGATATATTTTTACTTTCAGAAACCAAATAGGAACTTGAAAAACAGTGGTCTTGAAGAGCATGGAAGGAACAAATTAAAATTCATATGACAATGGAGTACAAAGGCTAGTGACCAGAGTCAAGAACTTCATAGGATTGTCAATTTACCCAAGCATTTTAAATTATTACAGCTTCTAAATCAAGCTTGAAACTAAATAAAACGATTGTAAAGCTTCTAGTTCTTATTAGCAATGCTTGACTTCTTAAAATCGAACTGTTAAGTAATATGAAACATTACAAATTGCATCGTAAGAAATACCAGACTCTTCCTGAGAAGCATAAATTTATCTACCGTCTACTGTCTTACTGAAATCCATGGGAACTACAAATGAATAAGAGAATAGTGCTAATCCCAACACTATGCTAAGCACAAGATGATGGATCAATAGTCATCGCCCCGAATGCATAAACAAATACAGGATCCAAACTAGAGATCAAAACAAATGGCATAACGATAAAATATATCCAAAAAATGCGGCTGCTTGTTGCAAAGTCCACAGATAAACATAAAAATGATAAAAGTTGAGCATATTCCGGTACAAAAGCATGATAAAAACCTGATAAACTGAACAAGTTAGAAGACTCTCACTCCATTATATAAACAGATAAATCCCAAATTTCTAACAAAAGGATGGTTGTATGAAAGAATTCATATACATAACTAGCGCAAAAAGTAACTTTCTGATCCAAGATAAAGAAAATTGAGATCACTATCAATATATGCTTTTATTGAATATAGAAAGTTTTTAGACAACACAAATTAATAGGCAAGGTATATGAGGCCACCAGCAGTATAAATTATAAAATCTTATATAAAATCTGCCAGTTACAAGCATTTGTCCACCATAATTCAGTTAAGACATGCGCAATTGAACAAAAAACAGTAAAATTCATACAGAAATTGAAATCCAACACTTACCTCTCAGAATGGTGCAAAAAGTTGCAAAATGTGAAACCCAGACAAATTTAGGATCTGGTTTACGAGGATCGTAGATAAATGTGCAGAATTGACCGTAGTACGGGGAAATTATGGGTGGGTTGGTACGCCAAACTTCATAAAGATCCCTCACTTTAGGATTTTGGATATTCTTCGAATTCTCATTCGACTAGCTTTCTAAATTATTATCATTTTTTTCCGGTAATTAGCACCACATTTCATTGTTTTCCCTGCCTTTCATTTTTTGCATTTTGATCATTATTTTCATCTTTCATTGCACAAAAGATCATTTTCATCCATTTTTTCAATTAAAAATTGTGAAATTACGAAAATATCATTTCCTTTAAATAAAACAAAAGGAAAAAGAAAAAAAAATTAATTGCAATCATAATCATAATTTTTATGAAAAACACAAATAAGTTACAAATAAATTATTAAAATGGTAATTAGTACCATAATATCCTTATCTTTCACATTTATTGTGAAAAACGTCCTTGCCCTCCTTCTTTTTTTTTTTTTTTTTGNAAAAGGTCCCTGCCCTTCTTCCTTTTTTTTTTTTTTGACATTTTCATCCTTAATTACACATTTGATTGTGCAAACCATCATTTTCATCCAATTTCTCAATAAAAAAATGTGAAATAATTTATTTGAACCTATTTGCACTTTTTAATTTTTTAAATTTTTTAAAATTTTAAATAAATTTAATTGGGACTCTTTTGCACTTTTTATAAAAAAAAATTAATTTTTTAATAATTTATTAGGGACTCGTTTACACTTTTCAAAAAAATTGGGATTATGATTGCAATTGATTTTTTAGTTTTTTTTTATTTAAATAGGAGGGTATATTCGTTATTTCACTATTTTTTATTGAGAAATTGGATGAAAATGGATAGAATTAATGATTTGCGCTAGCAAATGTATAATTATGAGAGAAAATGCCAAAAATAAATAAATAGAAGGTATGAATTTTTTTGCAATAATAGTGAAAGGTATGGACATTATATGCTAATTACACTTTTAATAATTTATTGGAGATTCATTTGCGCTTTTAAAAAAAGTTGGGACTATGTTTGCAATTAATTTTTTTTCTTTTTCCTTTTGCTTTATTTAAATGGAATGATATTTTCGTCATTTCACAATTTTTAATTGCGAAAACGAATAAAAGGACCTTTTGATAATGGTGAAAATGTCAAAAAATGAAAGATCGTTTTCCACAATAACAGTGAAAGATTGAAACGTTATGTGCTAATTAACTTTTTTTCTAAATTATTCTTGTGACCCAGGCTCAATGACACCCTATTGATGGGGTTTTAAAATGTCCTCACGTGTGTGGGTTTGTATTTGGAGGGGAAAAATAATGGTCACGTGTGGAGGGAAAAAATAGTGGTCACGCGAGAGAGAGACTACCACTTACAATTCAGCAGAAAATACGGGATTGAGGGTGTGGGATATGGGATTGAAGAACACATGACCATATTTTTGAGGCAAAATTAATTTGAAATACGTAGGGCTTGCTGCAGAATACTATCGTGGAATTGTTGATCATAAATCGCAGTAGCTCTAAAATTGCATCTTACTCTGTCCATTTCTTATTTTGAATACCAATAGTTTCTCTACTGTTGAGTAGTGCTAAAACTTTGAAGTAATGTTAATCCTTTAGTTTTCTTGTTGCCGTTTTAGCAAAATGGGATGACAGTGAAGGTTCTTTATATATTGCCAGATAGAAGCTCAACTCAGTTTGTAAAATTGCACTAGAAGTTCAACTCAGTGTAGTGGTAATGTTATAGATTCAAAATTGTTATTTGATTGTTTTCTCCTCCGTATAGCTTCCAAAGTGTTACATTTCCAGTCACAAGGTTCTGAGGGAGGCTGCGTTTAGGCAAATCGGATTTATCTTTAATTATAACCATGGTGTTAACATCATTAAGTGAAACACAGCAATATCACAATCATATGTCAATCATTTCAGCCAGCTAAGTTCTCCCAATCCTTTCAGTAGTAAATCACTCACTAGGTATATTCTGGAATTAATGAAGGAAACAAACTATATACACTAACAGTTAAATTATACAAAAGTTCACATTCCAATAGTTTACGAAGAAAGTTTACATCGATCCCGTCATAATAATCCGACATACACAAAACTTCATGTAATCGTTCGATTAATAACTACTAATCAAGGCGACGCCTCCACTCATGTGTTCGACTCTGTGCTACCTTTTGCCTTACATACCGTCACATTTCCTTCTGACCGAATAAACCACATAGATATACCATTTGAACATATATAACATGATAACTACAAATAAAGTGAATACATGTTGGGAATTTACTTAACATGCATAGCGGAAATAAAACAATTTTCAATTCCCAGCCGAGGATCTGCTATGTGTTTAGATAGAGACTGTGATGAGGATGATACTCAATGTGTTTAGATAGAAACTGTGATGAGATTGATTCCTTTGATGATTTCCACAAACTCTTTTACTTTTTCTTGAACTCCAATGATCACGATATGCAATCCAAACTATCCAATTGTCCAGCCTCCAATGGTGATCCACACAGAGATCAAGAATGGTGGCTAGGATTTCTTTTCTTGTATTAGCAAGAATAATGAAAAATTCCATACTATTTTCAAACCCTAGTAGTCTATTAATATAAGTCCAAATAGGCTCGGCCCATCTGTTAAATTTAACCCGATCCAATATTTAATTAATCAAATTAATTAAATTTGGTCCATGAATTAATTAATCCAATTAATTAATTCGGGTCTATTAATAAATAACTCAATTAATTAATTATCTAATACTTGTCAATTAATTAATTGGTAAATCTCATTCTTCTGATTCTCTTTTGTGCGTGACCCATTAGATTCTCGATCACGATACCAACGACGTGAATTATTATTTTGATCTAATCAAAATAGATAAATTAAAACGCCCCTTTTAATTTATCACTAATTCACTTTCGTTGTCCCAAATTGACATCTAGCAATGTGTCAGGACAATATATGTGA